GCTTTCGATTCGGGCGAGTGGAGCGAGAGTAAAATAGTTAAAAGCAACAATACAGTAATCTCGCTGAATGGAGGAGTGAAGAATGCCACCAAGTCTCAGACAGCGAAGCCTAGATTCGCGTAAAAATTGTGCGATTCTGCTGTTGACCGTGTGAAATTGCATGGGAAAGTTTTCACTGAACATCCCAAATCTGTTCGATTGCAGCATCTGTGGATGGCTTGCGAGGTGACAACGCGAGAATTGCGCTTCCTCTTCGCCATTCCGGCGGGCGTGGGGAATTGTCATCGTGAAATGGATTGAAGGAATGCAACAATTCTTCATTATTTTTTAATAATGACGATTCAGGATAATTGCGAGATGGGGTTGAAATATGTTGTGTGCCAGGTGAATTGCGAGAGTCAACAACACGTCAAGAATATTAAATTTCACACGGGTTGACGAGGGGGTGGCAAAAAGCGCGGGTGGAAAGCTCGGTTGTCCGTGGAGCGTCTCCACTTTTTTGCAGCAGAGAGTTCGATATTGCATATTTTACTTGGTCTATACATGAAAATTGTCATTGTGCGCGCCCTCTCGAATGCACAGCAATTATTTTGTACTGAAACCCCTTCATGCCAACCACATTCTGCCAATTTATTGCTCCTCAGCATCTCGCTATTTGTTCTTGTTTCTCGGGAAGCAATATTACTGTCTTGGTTCTTGTTTTGCAACAATAAAAATATGCCTTTGATTTATTTGTCATTTTGAGTATCAGTACTGTGATTTATACTGCTTCTTTTGTTGATGCATTTGTGTGGCATTTTCCGAAATTTCAATTTTTGCTTCTAAATTCAACAACTGTGCTCTCATATTACTTTGAGCCAAAAGTATATGGAGAATTTTGACACAGCTTGCGATAAACTTAGATCATCAATCACTAGATAATTTAATTACATATTTGTCGTGATGTGAGGTCAATCATCAATTAATTTCTCCAAATTGAATTGGAAGCATTCAATTTTGAGCTCTTCCATGGCAAATGCACAGAGATTTTTCTTCAATTTGTCCCTAATCCGTCAATAGTCATTAGTTGAATCTAGAATGGAGCAGTTTGTGGTTAGTGGGTGGCAGAAAGGGGTTGACAATCATTGTCGCTATTATTGCCATTGAAATGTAACTTGATTTTCTTGATTATTGTGTCATCACACATCTCATCGATGGAGAGGAAGCTCCAAGACCATTCACAGCCTCTCCCAGCGTCCGATTTGTGGTGCCTGAGTAATGATAAATTTCTAGCCGAGGGGTTGGCACAAATTCACTTATCGCCGTCCCTTTGGCTGAATTGGGAAGATTACATAGAAAATTCAGCTCGTTTCTGCAGGGGTTGGAACACACACACACGCGCGCTGTTGCTGAACACAGTGAAATTGTGTGCAATTGTTTCGGCTAAATTGAGGATTTAAGAGGACAATTATGAGGGAGAGAAGTGCAGCTAAATTTATATCAATGTTGTGGCATATTGTTCCAATTTATCAAGCTCATCTCCAACCCTCCATCTTTAATTCACTTAATTTCACATTTTTTTTCTCTCTCCCCCGCTAAAAGGTCATTTTGGGCTTTAAATTAATTTCCTCCTGACTTTATTGGGCAACAAGAGCAAAAGAATGGGCCCATAAGTGTCTAACAAGAGGGACGACTGGAGGAGAAAAAACTAAAATTAATTGAATAGATGAGCAATTTACACGAAATTCTCTACGCAAGATTCATTAACTAATCAACTGTGTGAATGGTATCTGTGACTGGGTAATAAATAAAAATCAACTGGGCAAAGTGTGTCTTAACACTCCTAATCCAATTACTTATTAACGCTGAAACGTTTTCCACCCACACCCCCATCGACCACCATTCAATTTGGCACCCTCTCGAATTCGCCAGCAGCCCTGCGCGCCACTGACCACTTTTGCTCCCCGAAAATTCCCGTCCATTACTTTAATTAACAGCATGTATACAAAACTCGTCCGTTTCCAACCCTCAGCGCCATACATTACCAGCCGCCACCCAGAATGAGACAGATAGAGATGGATGTAGTATGTGTGGCTCGGATGATGAAGAAAAGGGGCCAAATTGGGCATCACGAGGGGAGCAATTCTACCGCCTTTCATCCTTCAAAAATTCCCCGCACTCACGAAAACGGGTAGCGACTCCCCACACCCTCGAAGTTCACCCCAAAGAGGCACATTTTAGGGATGCACCGCCACCCTTACCAATGGCCGATCCTGCATTTTGATTGGATTATTCTTGTACAGAAGATGAACACGTGTTTCCGCTGGGCTTTATTGTTAAATTACAGTGCGGGGATTAACTAGGTGAAATTTGCACTTGAAGACTCAATTGAATTTGGTGACTGAAGTCAGGCTTAAGACTTCATCCATCTTGTCTTGCCTGTGCTGATCGCTTGTCTCATCCATTTTTCCCAAAACTGATTGGGAGCCCTTATCTTTATTTTCTACATCTGCGTTGAACAGATCTTATTTCGCGATTTTACTAGAACTTCATTTTCCAGTGCCGGTCTGGATGTACCTAACCATTGTCCACAGTGTATTCCGCTCACATTTAAATGGCAACCGCCATCAACCCCTTTCGCTGCGCCTCCTTCGCGGTGACAATCGGCGAGCAAAGTGGAAAAATGGTGATGAGTGCAGAAAGTGTGTCTGCGTGGGTGGCTGGGCGGGCTTGACTTTTGTGTTCGGCAATAATAATGATGGAGTATCTCGAAGCTCGCAAGCAATATTCGTGATTAATTCTGTGAGAGAGTGAACTGTGTGGGGTGGGCCTGAAGGAATAGAGTTTTCGAATTAGCAATCAGCTAAATGGCCTTCTCGTATGCTCACCCACCCACAAACCAGAGTCACCCTGCCAGCCAGAGAGACGACGACGACATCAAATGTTGGCGCGCGCTTTTGTTGCCAGAACTGTGGGGTGGTTGTGCGCGCCCGGCAAAACACAGCAGCACAACATAGTGCCACCCTTGGAGACACACTTCCACGAGTGGCGGGGGCCCGAGGGGTGGCAATTCACTCTCCATTTCACCTTCTTCAATCCTTTTACCACCCACACTCTCGGGACGCCGCCCTCCCAAGGGGAGAATGTAATTTTGTAATAAGAGCAAATTGAAATTAATTCCATGGCAATTAATGAGAAGCGAAAGACTTTCTCTCGTGCCCCCCAAATAAAATTCCATCTGTCATAATACAGCAATTCTCCATTAGGCTGTAACTGCGAGATTGCCGCGCTCGGCGCTCACAAATACGCCAAATCCACCACCGTCGAGATGCTCAATCAAAATCCTCTTTAGCATATTGTTTATGCCTCAATCGCTGACACGTTAGTCAAATTGCCACACTCACTTCTGTACGCCAGTGACGAGCCTGGAGGAGGAAAAATGGATTTTCCCCTCGAACCTCGGCAACTCCCAAAATTGCTTCCAACGCTACAATTGCTTATCAGAGAATTTTTCCATGGTTGTGCAGAATTTATGGTGTCTCCTGTGTCCTTTTCTCTCTTCGATAAGGCGACAGAATTTACACAAGATGAAATTTATGCAAAAATGCTGTAATTGCAGGTGAAATTCCAGCGAAGAAATGGGACGGTAGATAAGGGAACTATTTATATGAGAAATTTATTGAGATATGTTTCTACTTGCGATGCAACGACAATGAAGTGATGCGAACTGGTAGCATTGTTAAGAAAATCAATGCAACGCGCATTTCATTCTGACGCTAAAAAATACTTTTAAATCATCATTGTGAAAATTCGCTTCCACTGCCGACGATAAATCATTATACCATTCTAATTAAGTAGCCAAAAAATTATGATTCTTCTGTGGACATAAACAGAAAACAATAGCTCAAACAATTCATCTTAGATCTTACTCGTTTTAGTATGCATTCAGAGATGTGTTTCTCCTCATAACAACTTTGCATTCTTTCGTAGCATTGCCTTTTTTGTGCTATCTCTAATTTTTCAATGAATTTTATTTAATTCGCCACGTAAAACACATTTTTGCTGGTACACTCCTTTTGCAGTGGGGCTCTTGATGATGATAATTTGTGTGAGTGGAGAGGAAATTAAAAAAAGGGAAGAAGAATTTGATAAACAGAGTCTGTTCGTGGAAATTAATTAAGACACTCTTAATGAGGTAGAGGAGGATCCGAGGCAAGGAGCTCCTCCACAATCCGCAGCGAATGAGAGAGCGAGAGAGCGAGAGAGGGAGAGAGAGAGAGAGAGAGACGGAGAGGGAGAGTGGCATACAATAAAGAGGCTTCTTTATCGTCATGTCTCGCGCGTATAAGTGAGTGTGCTTGAAAATGGCAAAAGAAAATAATTATGTAACGAAGAAACAGCCCTAATTACTTGATATTCGAGGCGAGTGGGGGTGGGCGGGCGCCCCCTTGGAGTGTGTTTTGGAGCACACGCGCGCAATTATATCGAATCCGACCAACTTCTTTAATAAACTCCGACATATATGAATTTTAATTAAATCCTTTAATATTAATTAAATTTCATCGTCATACTCCCCGTCACCGATGTTGCCGCACAAATGAGTTTCGCCACCCCCTCGGCGCGACCAACTTTCTCCGGGAGATCCGCGAGGACGCGAAGACAGGACGGGGAGGCGCGATGACGCCCAGATGCTCCCGGCCCGGCGCGTTCCCAGCCGCCCCGGGGAAATTAATGTGCCACAGGGGCGTCCCGCAATTGGCAGGAAAAGAAGGGGATCCCAAACATCCCATTTCCTCTCATCAATACGTGCCACACACCTCGTCGCCTAGCCGAGAATTTCCCCACTTGAAATTAATTAATTGAATTCCCACCCACACTATAAGACCGCAAAACCCAAGGGGAGAGCGGCTGCTGCGGGGGCGCATTGCGATTGTCTGGAAGCCCTCGTGTTGCCAAATGCGAATGCCATCGATTTTGCCATGGCGCACGATCTTACCCATTGGCTTTTCTTATCTTTGCAGGATGTTCGGGATGTCAGGCGCATGCAGTGCATGTGGACAAACAATCCAAGCCAACGAATTGGTGATGCGAACAACATCGCAACTTAGTAGTAATCAAGCGGTGGGCAATCCTAACCAAAATCTACAGAGTCAGGTGCAACACCAGGTGTTTCATCCCAAGTGTTTTGCATGTTCAAAATGTGCAGTGCAGCTAATGCCAGGCGACAGGTAAGATCCTCTATCGTACATAGGAAACCTTATCATTTTCATTGGAGATCCAAAAAACCCTTAATCCTATATATTTGCGCGCTTTTAATCTGTTGGAGAGTCATATTTTTCGCCTATTTCGAACACATTGCGCATTTCACCAAGAGATTTATAATTCTGACATTCTGGAGAGGAAATACTTGTTAAAATTATTCGCTCATGCAGCACTGAATTTTTCTAAAGACTATGGAGTATTTGAGAGTCAAATTGTTGGGAATCGCCTGCGCTTTCCCTCTCCATTTTGGCGGCATTTCAATGTGAGGGGCGTTATTAGGGCAAAAAAACTCGGGCACAAATCCATCTTCAGGGAGGACACTTTTTATTGGCCATTTCTTGTGACGCTCTGTGAAAATAGAAAAGTCGACAAAATATGGGATTTTTTGATGACTCTCATATGCGATATATTAAAAATTTTACGATTCCAGATAAAAGTCCAATGATTTGTATGATTTCTTCCCCGTTGGGCTACAGTTATTCCTCTTCCTTCTTGCAGGTATTACATGTTGGCGGGCAGTCTAGTGTGCGAGCAGGACTGGCAGAAGTTGATCAAGAACACGGGCGCGAGCACGGGAACGCCACCGATCCGGAAGGGCAAGGTCGGCAGACCCAGGAGATCCAGAGACTGAGAGGCTCCGCGTCTGGGACGGCCGCCCAAGATCAAAAAGGAGGAGGAGGCCACCAAGTTGCTGCTCACGGCGCCGCCAATTCGCGAGGAGGACTTCGCGCGCGCCCATGCAACTCCAAGCGCCCCACCGCCCGCCGCGTCCCAGCCGAATGAACACCTCTACAGCAGCCTGTACGGCCGTGAAATGGAGCTGATGAAGAAGATGATCAAGAGTGAGTGCGGCATGGAGCCATTCGGCCAGCCGCACTACTCGTATCACATGAGGGGCGGCTATGTCCCGCCGGTGGCCGTCCCGCCGCACTTCTACCCGCCAGAGATTGATGTGGGCGGGAAGTTCTACCATCCGCCGCCGGGGCAGCGGTTCGCGCCTCCGCCGGTCTGCAAGGTTGAGAAAGACGATTTCCAGGGCTTCATGCATCCGTTCGCTGGCGGCGGCGAGCGGCAGCGGCTGGGGCTGCTCAAGCCCGTGTATGAGGTGGACAAGATGCCACCCGAGACGCTGGCCCTTCCCTCTCCGAAGGTCTTCTCCGGACAGTTCGACATGATGGGCGGCGGCTGTCCCAACGGCGATCCTCTCAGCGCCACGTTTAAGCAAGTGAGCAAGTCAGTTAGTGATAGTGATAAGAGAGACAAGCAAGAGGACAATAACGGCAAGGGCTTCGCTTGCCAGAGTGAGTTTGTGCGGAAGCGTGACGCCAAGGATGGCAGCCCCTTCGTGAACAGTGGCAGTGACGGGGCCGCGGCCGGTGGTGACTTTTGCGGCGCACACCACCAGCTCAGCGGCGACGAGAGCAATGGTGATGACGCATTTACCACATTGTAATTAAATTAATGAGCAGGTGGCGCAGGAATTCGTGCCGCCTGGCGATACCTCATTTGTCCGCCTCGCCGGGCTTTTGGGGTGACACAATGCATAAGAATCCTTTAATTGTGTGTACAATAGAATCCTGAAGGGAGGGAGAGAGGAAAACACAGAAATTCACCTCACTTTTCGTTCAAGACGCTCGACTTTCCCCCCTTTTTTCTCTTCCTTCTTCCCATTTCGCCGCAGGGCGGGACGGCCAGGAGGGCGCGACTCCCCGTGGAGGAGGCAAAAAAGACAGACTTAAAGTTGTTTTCGTTTTTTATCCTTTTAGTACTTTAAAACGATCTTTTTTTGTATACTTGTAATAAGTGTTGAACCAGAGGAAAAGAACTTAATGTCAGTGGAAATGATAGCGAATTTGAGATGAACTCTTTAAATGTGAAATAAAACATGAAAATTGATATTGAAGATGAAAAGTATAAAAATTACACCAACCATTAATTACGTCATAAGCAATTTGACTATTATTAATTAATTATAATCACACACATACCTTGTAAATTATAATTTTAAAATAAATATATTTAAATGAATTTAAGAGAATTAATTGAAAATGGCGTTTCATTTGGCAAAGGACTTTTATTGCTTCACCGTATTTTCTGCCATTGAAGAGAATTTAAGAATCATCGCAAAGGTAAGTTCCAGCAATGTGAACCATCAGTAATCTGTGACACCATGACAAACACCGCAATATTGAATTAAGCTTCACTGCATGAATCTTGAACAAAAATCTGCCTGAAGTTTGCAAAACGAACTTACGGGGAAAAAAATAAATTGACCACATGAATTGTTCAGCTGCTCAAATGATGCCAAAATCTCCTCATTTTCACTTTTTCTCCAATCCAATTTTCACCCCACAGTTCGCCGTTCCCTGGAAAATTGCGAAGCAGGAGCGCAATTTTATATTGTGAATTGATTAAAATTTAATTATTCATTTCCTAATTAAATTAATGTGCGTACATCGCTCGTGCTATTCGACGAGACGAGACGTGAGGGGCGGTAGAAGGTAAGTGCAAAAAAATTAATTGATGCTGTACAGAGTGGAAACTGTTGATTTTGTAATACTGGCGGTTTGATGTGACGGAAGTGCTGAGGTTTCTCTAGCGCGAAATTCATTTCCTGTTTCATGTGCGCCCAAGATTTTGGAGAGGGAAAACCACGAAGGGTCCTTGTCTCAGTTGATTCTGGAGTGGATTCTTCAGGCTGTGCCGCGCTTCGAGGAATTGCATTGGATTGTCACGATTAATTATTGAAAGTTGTATTATGCAAACGACGCGCGTCTATCGCACACTCACATGGTGTGAGATAAGAGGGAAGGAAAATATAACTTTTCCTTTGGGTGATGAGAAAATAATATTTCGCCTTATTTATCATACACAATTTCCTCTTATGTAATTAATTGAAATTTCCATCCTTGAAATTTCATCGCATCCCTCCTCCATCGTCAAATCTCCGTCTCATTGAGAAGAAGGATTAATTATCCAGGGAGTGCTCAAACCTTGACTCAAACCCAGGGGCGAACAACTCAGCGCACATCCACAGCTGGATTGTGATAATTGGTCAAGAGAGCGACACACTTTGGCCAAAGAATGAATTTCTTATAAGATAAATACGTAAATTTCACTGATGAATAGCGTCTCGAGTCAGTATAATTTGAGGGGTGAATAACTCCTCAGAAATTCTTAATATTCCCTCCTCGGCCTCAACCCTTCTTCGGAACCAGCACCGGCACCCTCATGGCCCATTCCGGGCCCCTGAACTTCAAGATTGCGATGAAATAGTCTACCTTCGGCTGGAGGAAGAGTGTGTGTCTAAGAAACGAAATTAATTGCATTATTTATTCACAATCTCATCTTTCGCATACAATCCCGTACATATGTGGGGAATCCACTTAATTCCAGCAATTTGTGGCGTCTCTCAGCGCACTCAAGCTTTGATGAAAACACCAAATAAAAGTCCGACCGAAGTGGAGTGAATTTCGGCGCAACCATTCAGCGCGCGCCTCCGAAATCTCGAGCGGCCATGGAGGGATGAGTTAATCGGCGAAAAAAGCCACCGAGTGGGTGGTTGGGTGGCCATTCTAAATATTAGGCCCGGCGAGGGAAGAAAAAGTGCAACGAGAGACGCCCGAAATCACCTCGCCAACGCTGAACGTCCTACTGGACGGATGAATGACGGCCGAGTGCCACTTCAATTTTCTGCTAAATTACTTTTTGTCACTTTTCAACCAGACGACAAATTCAAATTACAGCGTGTGTGGACGTTCAGGTGGAATGGAAAATAGCGGGCAGAGCTTTTTGTTCGCTCTCACAGGCAGGAAAAGCTTCGTTGAGGCTCTGGATGATGAAACTTCTAATTGAATTGCATTGATTTTTTGCTGCAGTGTTGCAGTCTTTAGTCATAGCTTTCTCTAAGAGTTTTTCTGTTAGATAGCAAGAGTCAAACTGGAGTTTTTGGACTTACTTTTTAGATGATCACTTTTTGGAAATAAGGATCAAGAAAATTTCCATTTCAAGATCAAGTAGAAGTTATAGAGTTCCATCCTCGAATAAGTGAAGAAATAGACTTAAAAGCGGTATAAAAATAAGTGGTTTTATGAGCAAGATTGAGTGTTCTGCTTTTTAACTATCGCCTGGATCTGAACGATTGCAAATATTCATTGAAAACAGCGTCCAGAGTAGCTCAGCTCTCCTCTATGGTCCATTACTAAAGCCTCCTTCACTCTTAGAGGTTGAACTTTTCAGTAGTCAATCCAATGGCTCTGAGCCCACACAGTTCTGCTTCTCAAGCACATCCTCAGCCAATTGATATGGCATTTATTGAAAGCTCCTGCCAGAGAAGCTCTCAAAGATTCATCCAATTTTTCACCCCACCCACACGCCAACGGCCGACAAACTCATTAACGTAATAGAGTCTGGTGGAAAATTTTCCACGATGTGGAATGAAAAATTCATGAAACAAACAGAAAATCAAATCTAAATTATTTTTATCGTCTTATCCAATCACTGGGGCCAATCCCAACACAAAATAGAAGAGAGAGAGCCTTGGGGTGGTGATTGCATGAAAAAATCTCATTAACTGAAAAGGAAATAATAAACGAAATGAATAATTAATTACCCCCGGAAAACTGTCAATCCGTTAAAACTTGGTGTGTTTCTCGGCCATCTCGCATTTTCCAACCCCCGGCGAGTGGAATTAATCATTTTCACATGTTTCCCCGCCCTGAAACTCCCACCCAAGAATCACCAACTCACCTTCGACGCCATCGCGAACAGGACAGGAGAAGTACAGCAATTGGTGGTCGCAGAAATTAAATGATTTTCACTTTAGTGAATTTTTATTGAGTGTTCAAGTGGCATAATCTCTGTCTGTTGCCCATGAATTGAGGCAAGTGGGCGGAAAAGGAAAAAAAAAATCAATGAGAAATCGTCTCCCCCACAGCAAATTTGTAATGTTTGAGACGTGTCAGGAATTTCCAGTGGCGTTCATTTGAATTTTCAAGGCAATGCCGAAGCTTAGGGTCGAATGAAAAATTAATGGAAAATAATTCCCTCCATTAAATTACCGGAATCACTTGGACACAATTTCCGTAAGTGACTCCCTAGGTCACAAGGGTGAGGAATTGATACCCCTGAATTTCATCTCCGGAACATTCTGGCATGCGGAAACGATATGCAATCCACCTCTTAGTGTCTTCTCTATGATCAACTGACTAGTTGCGCGATCTGTGGCAAATTTTTAAACCTAAATTCAATATTTTGATTAAGTGCCAATCTCAAGATCCAATACAAAAGAATATATTAAATGTTTCCGGGTGTCGTGAAAATTGTTTTAGGGAAATCATGTTTGCTCTTTTTGTCGTCAAATTTTGTGCGCCGCAATCAATGATTAATTCCACTTACTAGCCCGAGGGCTCAAGGGCTTTGCTAGAACTTCCTTCTTATGCCCCACCCTTGACATGATCCCTCTCATCTTCCAATGAATACTTTAGATGCACTTTCAGCCCCGTGACAACTGAGTGGGAGCAGCATTTCATGTGAGCTCTGGGGTTTGGGGTGAAATTTATTGTGCCTCGTCTCAATAGAGTAGAATGAATTGCTGGCATCTCGTTGCATGTTTCTCATGATGTTTCAGTCCTTGGCCATTGTCATCGGATTCTTGTT